TTTTTGGAAGTCAGATTTATACAGAAAGTTGTTTTACATTACCAGTCAGTAATTTTCCCCCACTTTCAGAGCCCAATAAACTATGAATTTCATTAGCATCTTTTTCAAAAAACAAACCGTCTTATTTGTATAAAAATGAGTTAAAAATATATTCATTCCTTTCAGTTCTTGTAAAATGTTATAATCATTAATTTTAGGTATACCCAAGCAAATATTCTCCTGATCATTGACTTCTGCAACAAAGTTAAGTTCTCTGTTATGACTTTATACATGAGCTAAGGTAATTTTTTCATCTCCAAAAAGCTCATGTGTTATTGTTTCTTTTCTGATACTCTTTAAATCCATGGCTTTTGCAATATATTTTGAATCGCAACTTCTCTGGTTTTCAGTGTTTAAAATCACCCTCACCAGTTGCCTTGAATTTTCATTTTAAATGTAAATAGGTAAAGTTTACAAAAAAGAGGCTCTCTTGCTTTAACTATTTAGATCAATAAACTCTGATTCACTATTATTTATTTTTACCTTTTTTGTTGCTTTAAAAAAAATTTATGCTGTTTTGTTAGTTTGCTGTTTATGCTGTTTTATGTAGTACAGAACATAATTCACATTTAGTTTCTTTATTGAGACAGTTCAAATGCTTTGCTTTTTAAAGCAGGTTTCTTTACAGAATAAGATATTTTTCTCTTACAAAGAAAGATTCATCACTATATTGCAGCTGTCCGACATATGAGTCTTGGAATTACAAAATAAACCAGTTTTCCTTTTGTGTATATTACATCCAACAGATGCCGAACATCCATTATTTATTTATTTATTTATTTTTTATTCAAACTCCTCTCTCATGAAAAATTATATTTGGAATTTTTTTCTCGATTGCATAACTCGAAAGATGATTTATTATTAGAATATGTCCTCTCATGCGCTGTCAAAGCATGGGTAAGAAATTAATGAAATCTTGAATGTGTGAGCAAGATTTGTCTTCTTGTGCTTTGTTGTAGTCTAACACTAAGTTGTTTGGAATAAGTTTTAATAGCATAAGGCACAAAATCTGCCATAATGTTTGGGAGACATCTAATGATTCTAAACTTAATTGCACATTACAATTACAGTAGTACCTCGACATATGAGTTTAATTCATTCCATAACCTTGCTCATATGGCAAATTGCTCGTATCTTAAAGCAATTTTCCCCATTGAAATTAATTGAAATGCCATTAATCCGTTCCAGCTCCCAAAACACCACAGTTGTTTTAGTTAAGTGTTTTTGAATAAGAACAATGCATTTACAAGAAGAAATATTTATTTATAAACAGCAAATACATATTCTATAAAAACATAATTAAAAGAAAAAGTGAAGTGTTTACGGAAGCACTTAATTTTCGTCACTGGTCTTCGCTTTTTTTCATCACGCTTTGCTCATTTTCACCTGCAGATCATTTAACCCTTTCCGGCACGCTACCTTTTAAAGTTGGAGTTTTGATAAAAAAAAGAAAAAGGTAGGCAGTCTAATTAGGACTAGAGGAGTACACAAGTAAAATTTTGTGAAGATAGCACTTATCGTTTTAATTCTGTGGGTGTGCCCAAAGTGGCACACTGATTGAATAGAGCTTCGAAAAGAGTGCTGAAACGAGCATTGTTGTCAGTGAGCTGAACGATGCGATGCGGAGAAACAAAGAATACAGACTCTCGGTTGTCGTAGATTATCAATGACCCCGCCTGGGCACACCTAGGGTTCGCCGTTTGATTTTAGGCAAGATTTCAATGTAAAAATTTAAAACTAATATCGAATACGGAGATTAGCATACAGCCAAAAAAATAGCACAGAAAATTCTTTTCAAACAATTCCTTTTATACCCTAAAAAAATCTGGAAGATTTCTTTGAAAAATGAGGGTCTTAAAAAACTAAACATGGTTAAAATATATGGACTGGTTGTTGTTGAGCTGCCATCTACTATAAATACAGAAGGTTCAGAGTAACCTATAGTAGCCTATAAATCCTTTTTATTCAATTTTTCTGTGTGTACAGAAGGAAATTTTTAGGTGTGTCCAGACCGGACACACTGTGCCGCAAAGGGTTAAAAAAACTGTCCAATGAGGTTTGTTTCTTCCTTCCTTTCAGGATATTGCGGAAATGCGTTAGGCAAGTTTCATTGAACAACTCCGATCCACAACCAGTTGCAACTTTTTCAGGGAGATTTTTATCCACGATCTCTACAACTTTCTCCCACATTCCCAAGATCTCCTTCATATCTCTTGTAGGGAAAACCTCCTCTTCAAGACTAATTTTTCATTACCACCATATGCTGCTGCGAATGTAGATCATGCAACTCCTTGGTTGTCAACTCCTGAGCCTGTTCTTCGATGAGTTCATTCACATCTCTCTCATCCACTTCCAGACCCATGGATTTTCCCAGAGAAACAAGTCTAGTCTGAGGCGGGAGAAATTGTTAGACACTGCACACGACACCAACATGCGCACACATGTTGCGGTCGTGTGCAACGGTTTTAGTGTGCGATTCTTCGTATTTTGAGATAACATCGCTCGCTCGCCGGCTCATATCTCAAAACACTCGTATATTAGGGCACTCGTATATCGAGGTACCACTGTTTTGACAAATTTCCTAAAAGTCTTAATATCATTACAGATTTTTAATGGCTCCATCATTAGAATCTTCTTCATGTGTGCTTGAATCAATCTCTTAGGATTTGCAAATATGTCCTTTAATCATTATATAGCTTTATTGTAAGCTTTTGCTGAAATAGGAAAACTCTCAGTGCTCTAAGCAAATCTCCCCCCCCAACCTTCCACATGAGCTTTAAATAATGAATTTTATCTACTTTGTTTAGGGACTCATTAATCTGCACAACTGTTTCGAAACTATTCCAAAAGGCAAGACATTATCCATTATTTCCATTAAGCCACATCCGTCATTTTCATAAAATTAGGCAATGTGTTTTTTAATACAAAGGCTATCAGAGTTTTAAATTTGTTCTAATCGACAGGCAATTAGAGGCCCATAGCTTGTCACGACCTTGAGCTTTTGAAAGTTCTTTAATTTTTTTCTTCGAACAAAATTGCTGAAGTGATATTTTTTCTCTATATTCTTGGGTTGTTTCAAATTCTATATCAAATTCCTCAGGTTTCAAAACTAGTTAATTGTTCATCAACTAAGGTAAGAGGTCAGAGGTAATGGAAGAAATTCCTATAAACTTATCTATCTTTCCACCACTGTCTGTGTATGATAATTCATCTTCTAAATAATTAACTGCCTTCATAACAGCTGTTCTCAGCAATTTACGTTTCCATTTACTAACTCATATGATAGTGTTTCGGCCATATTTTATCAGGTATATAAATTTCCTACAGTGCTGTGAATTCAAATTAAGTTCAGAATCTAAAAATTTTCAGTAAATGTCAATTTGTTCGAAGGTATACACAATATGGTTCACATTTATCAATATCAATCAATTAAAATATAAATTCAACATGCTAAGCTTCAATGTTTCACAATGATAAAATAAAAACAATTTCACATTCCAGTTATTTCAAAACTACTTCTATAGTTTCAATTTCAGTAATATTAATTATTCATTCTAAAATGAATTAATTCATCAAGCTCGATGTCCGGGCAAGGATGCTGTTTTGAAAACTTTAAAGTTTCTAATACAAAGCATTGCATATCTGCACAAAAGCAGACGATTGAAAAGGAATTACAGCTGATGTCTTACATCTCTTTCAAAATCTAACTGTTGTTGCCAGTTTAAATGACATTAAAAAATAATAATAACATTTCATGCCACATGCCATTTGGTGGAAAAATAAGTCATATTTTATTTGATTGATTTTTATTTGGAGGCTTTTTTCAGCATTAACCAAAGGAACAAGAATAATAAATTTCAGTCTAAAATTGTAAAAAAGGTCAGTTATCTTATTTGTTATCAACTTGTATGTCAAAAGCTTACATTTAAATTCTCTGATATTTTGGGGATTTCAGATATAAAAGTTGATGAATTTTTGTAGCTGGCATATTCATATAAATGTGAAATATATTATTATATTAAGAAATTCCAACAACAATGAAAGAAGTCAAAGATCCTGCCAAACTTGCATCAACCAACCTGACAATAAGTTTGAAGGAACAAAACATCTTTATTTAGTTAGATAATAAATAGATACAAGTTATGGGTATAACTTATTAATTTCAATTGATTATTATAATTTTTCATCTTGCCTCACCTCTATATATATCCATTTCTGCGCTGTTCCCTTTAAGGTATGCTTTTCTTGATGCCATTACCCCATAATTTTAAAAATACTCTTCTGCATACTGTTGCATTAAAAGCATGTGCAAGATTTATTTTTGTTACATTTCACTAATCCATTATTAGTGCTAAATCATGCTGTTTGGTGACAGATTTTGTTTGCGGAAAATAGTCAACAGGAAAAATACTGACATTATTGCAATAGATAGTCTGTCATAAACTTTGGAATATCTTGTGTGTTCCCTTTCTCTTTCTATAGTGAATATTAAACTGAAATGAATAATTCTTAGAATTATATGATGAATCCAGCAGTAGAGGAGGGGGTGATCAATATCGTCTGAAAGAGAGCCGTGTAATTTCATTCACATTTTTTGTATTATAAATGCTGTTCTATACAGCAGCCCTATACATGCTATGTAATGGCTTTAGAAATATCTATTTGTTTAATTTTTCATTAAAAAAATTTGACTCAAAAATAATCTGGTTACTTATTTTCCAGTTATTTAAATAGTTGAACTTTTACTGTATTTTACTTTAAATGAAATATATGTATATATAATTTGTAGTATTAGTGTTATTTCTCTTTTGTTGTTAAAAAAGAATATAGTTTGACTTGATGTTATACAAATTATATGAATTTTTATTTCCCCCTCTAATTTTCATATTTGAATAATTTTTATATTATGTATCTGTGTAAAACTTTTGTCCCTCAGTATTTAAAATTATTTTTTCCCCTAGGGATTTGGTAATTTGCAGACATTAGATTTACTGTTGATATGTGTAGGTCATCATGACTTTGAAGTAAGTGTAAACCATTAAGCATCTTGAAATTTTACTGAATTTATTATAAGCTTACGTGAAAGAAAGCAAAAATCTTCTGTAATTCTTTTAATATTTTTCTCTATATTGTGTATAAATATTCTGAAAAGTAATAGAGTGAATATGTTTTTATAAGTAATAATATATAGCTGTGAAATATGTTGGAATTTTTAGGCGAAAGGGTACTAGCCCAAGGGCTATCAGTTTCGTTCTGGCATTTTGCATTGATACACTATAAATATCGGTTCACTTTTCAAATTGTTGCCACTAAATATTATCGCTCTGTGTTATCATTAAAAAAATTAAATAATGAAGAATCTGTATTAAACATATGCATGTTTCTCACATTTTGAATAAAACAATGGTACCTAGAGCCATCCAATTTTGAATAACATATTCCTCCACCAAATATGGGCATCTAGAAGGCCTAATTTGAAATTTGATTTATTATCGGTTTTATAGTTTGTAACACTTTAACAGCCCACCAACGGCCGAGCGGTAAAATTACTAAACGCTGGTAGTTCAGTCCGAGGTTCGAATCCCGCGAACGGGCTGGCTGCATGGATTTTTTCGTGGTTTTCCCCATGTGTAACGTATTTACGAGCCAGTTTCCCTTAGAAAGTCCTCCACGAAGGCATCCCTCCCCTTAGACAGATAGCCCTAGTGTGCTTTGCCATAATTAAATACACCACCACCTAACACTTTAACAAATTTTTTATTAACAAACTTAATGATTTCAAAGGGAGCAATGACAATACTGTAGGGGGGAGATTTTTATCTCCAGCGCACGGGACTGTGTATTGGAAAATTTAAAGATATGCTCATTTTAAAATTATTTTGTGATATTGCCGTTGAATTGAATTTTGTAGTTTAAATGCAAAAAACATGATATTTAATAAATAAAGGTAACGCACGAAACATTAAAAAAAGTCCATCTGGGCGTAATGTAATATCTGAAAGCATTCAGATCTTTTATTTATTTTTACATGCTATTTTTTCCTTAAATATTTTAAGCTGAATAAAATCAGCTTCATATTTATTATCTAATACTAGGAAAGATGCACTTCAAAAAATGCATTCCAATTTTGTTCTTGGAACTACAAAATGACGTATTTTAAGGAAGCTGTTTTCATTATACAAGGGCTTATTGGAAAGTTTTGAGATTGCTTCTACTTCTCTTTTTCCAGTTTTAGACATAGCAACCATGTTAGAGACTGTGTGGAAAAGATATGATAGAATTTTCAACTAAACATAGAAAACTAGAAAGGGATAGATCAGGGTTCGTAGCGGTCTTTATAAGTGCTTATAAGTCCTTATATTTGAAAATAAAATATAAAGGTCCTTATAGGTGCTTACTTTTTCTTTAAAGCCTTTTCTTTTTTTTTTTTTTTTTTTTTCTTTTTGTTTTTAGTGCTTATTTTTTGCTTTTAGTGCTTTTTTTTTTTTAAATGAACGCGCTATTTTTCCCCGTACCAAAGCCGAAACTAAATAAACAACTTTTCTTCCTAATATGAAATGTCAGACAGTGAATCATGCTCCCGGCCCGGAAATAGCTTTTCCCCCTTTCTCTGCATTAACATAACCTTTGGTGTTCGCGAAGAGTACAGACAGGTGCCCGTCGTTCTATTGGTCAAAGAATTGCGAAAGCAGTAGAAAATTCCGGTACATTCGGCATTATTTTACTTCCACCCAAATACTGCACATGTTTGAATTTCTATCAAGATCTTAATAATTTGCATTCTCGTTCTGCTTGGTCAGTTCATATTCGTGTTTATTATGATCATTATGCTTATATTATGAGCATATGTATGAATGTTTATAACAACATAGTTGCAGTAACTGCTGAAGTATAGTAAACTTCCAAATATCGTTGTGTTTTGACACAGATTAGCTTTCTAAGGAATAATATTCGGAATGGCTTAAATAAAGGGAAAGTAATCGAATAGTCAAAATAATTTCATTTTTTGGCCAATACATTATACAGTACGAAGATTGGAAGGTTCTCCCCTTTCTCCACAAAATCTTGAATATTGAAACTGTTACAGTTCGTTGCAAAACAAGCAACGGACCTTTTTTTTTTTTTTTTTTTTTTGTCATTTTCCAATCTGGATTGAATAGGACTAAAAGTTCTGCGATCTACCAACCCAAGCGAAGAATGATTCTATTCCGGAAATTTAACACCGCCTGTTGAAAATTATAATGAAAAACACCCCAGTCATTTATTCTCCCAATACCGGCAGCTGTTAATTCCGATTGCGTAATATCACGTAGGGAAGAATTACGACACACATTGCGCAATAACGTTCGCGATACTTTGCAGAGGTAATTAATTTTTATCTTCTGTCCGAGATTTGTTTATGAACACTTAAAAGAGTTTTACTGTGCTTGCTAAGCAGAATATTTTTCAGTTCCATTAATTTATTTTTATATGATGCACATATCGAAATGTCAAAAGCATTTATTTAGCAGAAAAATTTAAAGAGCGGCAACTGTCTACGCCCCCCTTCCGCTCCTCTTTTTCAAGTTACGATCGACTGTCCAAATATTCGCCAATTTCCAAGTATGCGTGTTAGTTAAGCTTTTACTGTTAAAGGATGACTGCATGAAGCAAATTTCTGTCTTTTGATTTCTGAAATGTTCCTCTTTTTTACTTAAATTACTTTGCTTGCAATATCTGTTAAGGGAAAACTGATATACAATGTAAATTTAGAAAATGTTCAGAATTTAGATTTAAATTATTTAAATATCAATATGAGTAGAAAAATAAATTGTATTTTATTATTAAGTTCCAAGCGAATACGATAAATATGCCTTATTATTATTTATTTTCTCTATTTTGAACTGAAATTTCATCATTAAATCTTGTGATATAGTTTAATTCCGCATAGTTTTTTTTTCTCTCTCATTGTAAACTAGTTCTGTAAATTGAACTTTTATTTAAAATTTAAAAAAAAAAAGTAATTATTTTCCATGGTTGAGGTAATGCTTATTCTCTCTTAATAAATACTGCATTTCTCATATTTTAAATTACAAGTCTATGCAGTTGTGTATAATGTAATTATACAGGTGCTTATTTTTTTCTTAAAATGTGCTTGAAAAGTGCTTATAGGTGCTTATTTTTTTAACTAAAATGTGGCTATGAACCCTGTAGAGACTGTAGCCAAATGGATGATAAACTGTGGTTATGGGTGTCAGTGTGAAACCATTGTACATCCATGCATGGATCATATAACAGTGACTGTTATACGAATATCTAGAAACAGAGGGAGGACAAAGGGAGGGAAAAAGAAGGAATTTGCTCAAGAAACAGTGGTTTGCTTCAGGCCCAATATCCAGCTCCATGTTGGTTCTGTGGCATCTGAAACATTGCCTTAAATCTATCTGTTAAACCTTTCTGGCACAGTGTGCCCAGAATGGCCACACCTTAAAAATAGCCTGTGTGCACACAGAAAAAATTGAGTGGAAAAGGATTTATAGAGTATTTTGAACCTTTATTTATACTATAGAGCAGCACAGCACAAACCAGTCCTTAGGTTTTAGCCATGTTTAATTTTTAAAGACCCCCATTTTTCAAAGAAATCTTCCACATTTTTGTAGGATATAAAAGAAATTTCTGTTTTATTTTCTTGACTGTATGCTGATCTTTTTATTCTACATTAGTTTTAAATTTTTCTTTGAAATTTTACGTAAAATCAAACGGCGAACATCTGGTGTGCCCAAAATGGTATCACTAAAACACCAGGCCAGGACCAAGAAATGTATCTTTGTTTCACTGCAGTGTTTTCTTTGGTGAGCTTATTCACAACTGAAAAGTGAATCCACATCTGTGCTTAATTTCCTGCTCTTTTTGGGGGGTGGAAAGGTTGGTTATCAACTAAGAAATTGTGTTGGGGAGTTTTTCTGAAGGTCAGGTGTAATTTTATCAGTTAGCTCTTTGGGTTTTCACAAGAGCAGTTCTCTTTTTTGTCTTTCACTTTCGTTGAAAGAAGTTTTGTTAGCTTTACTTTTTTGAAAGTTTTTTGAGTTGTAGATGTTTATTTAATTTTATTTAATAATTTATATTTTCTTAATTGTAGATATAATTAGTTCAAAGGGCTTTCACAAGAGTTTGTTCCAGGAGGACTATTGTTTCCGTTTTGCGATTTTGCGTTGAAAACTTTAAAAGGTGTATCACTTTTCAAATTGTTGCCACTGAATGCTATCACCCTGTATTATATTTGAAGACATTAAATAATGAAGAATCTGCCTAAATTTATATATGTTTTTCGCACTGTGATAAAACAACGTTACCTAGAGCCATCAAATTTGGAATAGCATAATCCTCCACCGAATATAGGCATCTGGAAACCCTAATTTGGAAGTTGTTTTATGATCGATTTCCTATTTTGTTAATCATTAAAGAATTTTTTTATTAACAAACTCAAAGATTTCAAAGTAAGCATTGGCACTTTAAAAGATATAAAGAAAAAAAAAAAAGCATTTTGATCTCCAACGCGCGAGAGTGTGTATCGGAAATTCTAAAGATAAGCGAGCAATGACAACACTCTACTGGAGGGGGACCTTTTTATCTCCAGCACGTGGAACTGTATATTAGAAATTCTAAAGATATACTCATTTTAAAATTATTTTGTGACATTGCTGTTGAAGGCTCAGGTGCGAGGCACTTCAACAGCCTCCTAGGCTGGGAAAACCACATCCTGTGTGTAGCGTCATGCGGAAAAGTATATCTTTCCTGGCATAACATTGAGTAGTTAATTCTTGAGAAAAAAATTTCTTGTGGTAAGCGATGAATGAGCCTTACGCAAATACAGATCGAAGAGTCAGTCATGTCATAAGCTGGAGATGTCATGAAGCAATAAATATGGCAATAATGTTGGGAAATGCATATCTTTGAAGTCGCATGCTGCTGTCACAGCTTCGTGTGCTCAAATGAAGGAAGAATGATATGAAAAGAAGGTCTGTGATGAGCCTGGAGGAGCTACTGGGTCACGTGTTCCAATGGTTTACCTGGAAAGAGAGTGCATAGTCTTGCTCGTCAGGCATTGGTCGGGAGCAGGGCTTAATTTTAAATCTAACTTAGCAAAAATTCTGAATTACAGAACAGTTATAACTGGTAAAAATTATAACAAAATACGTGTAGTAATAAAAAGATCATGTGCTGAGATAATTTAGGTTGGCCAAAACATCTATTGTGGGAAAATAATGTATAATAAAAGAATACTTTGGAATGCATGTTAGAGAACATAAAATAGGTAGTGCTTGGTATCAAATGTAGATGCCGACACTTATGCGTGTCTTAAAAGAACCCCAAAATTGTATTATAAAGTGCAATTAAAGATGAGAAAATTAAAAACATGGGAGAATGACTCCCGAAAGAATTTACAGCACATGAAAATTAAATTAAGTGCCGGAGAATTGCTCCGGTTTTTTTTTTTTTTTTTTTTTTTTTGTTTTCATCATCAGTGTAGTCGTAGTTCAATCTAGGAATGGAACTATTATTGACTTTTTCGATGTTATTGAAGAAAATTTTTTGCAATGCAAATGCTGATACTATCAATGCTTAATTTGTTATGGATGGCCTCGTTTCCAAAAAACCAGGGACTGTTGGAAATTCTTCTTAAAGTGATATTCTGGCATTACTGGATTTTAAGCACATTGCTGTTGAACTGAATTTTGATGGTTTAAGTGTAAAGGACATGATATTTAATAAATAAAGGTAACACATAAAATGTTTTTAAAAAAAAGCTGGTTTGGATGTAATTTAAAATCTGAAACCTTTCAAATTTTTTATTTAGTTTTTGTTAATTTATTTTTTCTGATTTTTAATTACTTTTCAAATACATCGGAGAGGGCTGACCATTTCGTAAGCACTGGAAGTGCTAAGCGAATTTCTTTCAAATAGTGAATCTGATATGGATCCCGGTACATGTGCAAAACATGCAATGTTGGGTTATGCTTTTTCAAAGATGGTATCACTTGTTTCAAAAGTACCACCATGAAAAAAAAAAAAAAAAAAAAAAAAAAATAGACAAAAGTGTAAATATCATACAGCCAAGTTACTCTGTTTTTCATTTGTATGCATGTAATCATCATTTAACCAGGAAGAGCTTTGGGGGATAGCAGAGTAGCAGACCTCCCTGTGGCACCCAGGATGCTAAATTTGCTATGGTAATCACAATCTAGTGTTTTTAATTGTAAGCAAAATCTGACTCTATCACCTGCTTCTCAGGAATGCTCGCATCAGCCTTCTTTTCAAACCTCTATTCAGTAAGCTTACTTCTAGGTCTGATTAGACTGCCTACTTCTTTTTTCTTTTTGTTGAAATTCCAACTTTAAAAGGTAGCATGCCAGAAAGGGTTAACGCTAAAGTACCTTACATATAGTATAGACTTGATGACTTAATGATTTCTGAGAATTCTCAGATTAAAAAAATGAATTATACAGCTAAAGATTTTCTGCAGATGGGGAACTGAAAAACACCGTATGTGCAGTATTAAAGAGCGTATCGTAAAACAGCCTCTTTTTTTAAAAAAATTTTTTAAACTCTTTAAAACCTGTGAAAGTTCAATTCAGTTTGAAGAACTTGGATTTTAAAAAGAAAATAATACAGTATCTGTAAAGCCTCTCATTCTAAATAAGAGAATCAGTTTATGTAATTGCCAATGTCTTAATTTTCTTAAATTTTAATGCATTGTTTTTAATGATATTTATTTTGTTTTTGATAGGTTGCTGAAATAACCTTTAATCTATGGTATCGATTATCAGAAATGCTGTATAAAAGGAATGAGGATTCGTTAAACAATATATTTGAGCCTTACATTCAGCGGTTAATTGTTGCTCTCTGTCGACATTGCCAGTTAGATCCTGATCATGTAAGTTTTTTGTCGTGATATTGTTGTTAGCATTATTATTTACATAAAGCTCAATGTATCTCTATAATGTATATTCATATTTTTTATCTTTATGTGGCGTGATTGCATTTAAATATAAATTGTTATATAATTGAAGGACTGAAAGTAAAATTGCTATAATTTAATAACATATTGTACCCCCTCCAGACTAGTAGTAATCTGTTCACTTGAAGGTAAATTTTATTTAAAATTAAACGTGAAGTTATTATGCATTATCATCATCCATGTAAACCCATTATCAAAAACTTTGAATATTTGGCATTTAATTTAATTGATTGACTTTTTATCTGTTTCATTTGTATGTGTTATTAAATATGGTTATATCTTTAAATCTTTTATTTAAAAATATAGCACTATTTACTTATTAATCTTTTGTTTGTTTTTAATATTATAGTTAATTTAAAATAAATTTTTCATTTCTAATCTCAGGAAGGTGTTCCTGAAGAAGGAGATGATTTCAGTGAATTTCGAAGACGGGTATCTGATCTAATCAAAGATGTTGTCTTTATAATTGGCTCTTCAAAATGTTTCCAACAGGTAAAGTCAATTAACTCATTAATTATATTAGGATTTTAAAAGTGTGCTTTCTTTCTGAAGCTTTATTTTCTTTTCCTTAGTTTACTTCTTTCACTTCAAATCAGTGATCTCTGCTATTTCATAAATAATTTTTTATTGAAGATTTAAATTATAAAGTCAAAAGGAAAACTGAAAAAGATGTTAACATCTTTTTAATTAGCCTGGTCTTCTTAAAAGATTCCCTTCCCTTATAGGCATATCATAACCTTTTATGTTATGCGCCAAAAAAATACACTACCACTGCCATTCCTTTATATAATCATTCATTTTTAGAATGGTACAGATGTATAAGTAATAAATTTTCAGTCTGTCCAGTTATTTAAATCAGGTTTAAGGATGTTAGGGAGCAAATTTATAACTGTGATACATAGGCAATTGATTTAATTTATAATATAAGAAAAAAAATATGTTCCAGTTGGACCAAATTTAAGCAGTAGGTCAGATATACATACATCTGGAATTTTATGCTGATTTAAACTGCTTTAAAAAGTAAAATCTTATTGATTTTATACTAAATTTCTATTAAATTAAAATTTAACTCTTTAACAATTATCAGAATGTTTAGTTACTATTTCACTGTTATACACATTTCTCTACAGAAACCAAAAGGGCACTTGTATTTTCTGCAACTGCGGTTATAAATGGCACTCATTTTTAGTGTCACTGCTGGAATACTTCTAAAGAAAATATTTTCTCTTTTAGTCATGCAATAACATAAAATGGAATTGATTAGAAGCTACTCTGCTGGTCATTAAAATTGTAACACCAGGAAGAAATGATCTGAAGAATGCCAAAATCACATAAAAGGAAGAAAAGGTTGGGATATGCAAATGATTAGTATTTCAGCCCATTTAGATGACACAGGAGGGAGAAACAATATCTGAAGATCTGAATAAAAGAAAAGTTGTGTAGTGGATTTCTCATTCAAAAAATGCTTTGTAAGGTCGGAGTTTGCTCAGAATATCATGTGTGGATTACCATTCTGTGATATCACCTGTTGCACTGGCCGACATCCAATGACTGTCATACGAACATTGAATCAGTGGGTTGCTGAAGGTCATATTGAATAGCATGTAGGATCACAACACCCTCCTATGACTAATGCCCGAGAGGTCAGCCCTGCAAAACTGTACAACAGCATCACGGACAATTAATCAGGAAATTCGCATGTTTGCAGCACACCGAGTATCTGCTCGGTTCGCCGACATTTGCAGCCACCTGGATTATCAACATTTCGATCATTACTTCAGCTTCCCTTGACAATGCAGCATAGAGAGAGATGGTGACTCTGGTGTGCCTAACGGCAAAGCTGGATACAGGATTGGCACAACATTGTCTTTACAGATAAGTCCTGGTTCTTCATACAGTATTCTGATCGCCGTGTACGTGTCTGGAGGCTCCGATGAGACTGTACGTCTCCTGCTTGCATTCAGTATCGTCATATGGGCCCTGCACCTGGTGTAATGGTTTAGGCAGCCAATGGGTGCACAACATGCACATCTCTAGTTTGAATCAAAGGGTAATTTGAACGCAGATCCATACATTTCTGACATCTTACGTCCAGTGGTAGTGCCCCATCTTTGAGGCCTGCCAAATGCCGTCTTCAAACAAGGTAATGCAAGACTGCATGTTGCATGTCATGTTCTGACCTTCCTCGATATGAAGGATATTTGATCGCTGTCCTGGTCTGCAGGGTCTCATGATCTGTCACCCATTGAAAACATCTGGTCATGGGTTGCCGAGAGACTGGCCCACCACCCTTCTTCAGCTAATACAGTTGATGAAGTGTGGCATAGACATGAAGCAGCATAGAATGAGTTGCCCATTTCTGTCATCAAGCCAAGTTCGACTCCAGGTTTAAACAAGCAAGGGCCATTTTAGATGCCAGCTGTTTTTACTAATTTCACACCCCTGTAAATCCCCAAACTGCTTATAAATTTAATCATTTTATCTTTATGTCATATTGTTTACGTACAATAAATATCTTTTTTGTATTTGCTTTCCTTCATGATGTTGCATTTATAATGGCCAGCAGTGTCTAGAAGACATTTAGTAGTTTTATTACATTGGAAATTACTACTGGAAATATCTTATTTGTTTTACTCTTCTGAATTCATAAAAAAATTTGAATGTTTAACAATCCGTGTTTTTAGTATTACATTTTTAAGACTGTGATAGTAACTTGTCGAAAATTTTTTCCCTGAAACTGTTTTACTATTAAAAGTTTGTCATACTGTTTAAAGAATAACATAGTAACATAATGATAAGTAAGTAAAACCTTGAAATAAAGCATTAAACTCATTAATTGTAACCTGACAGTTTCATCCGTATTTATCAAATTCAGTTTTTGAAATGTTAAAGGAGTATCCCATTATTTTTTAGCATAAAGTCAACTTGGTTGTGTGCACTAGGCAAAGGTCATTTTGACAAGCTGAGTTTTTTATATGCATTATAATGTTTATCTCAGTTGTGAGCTGGACTTATTCATAATCATCAAAGGGTTGAACAAGTTTTTTCCTTCGTATTTTATGCCAACATTAGAAATAACAACACATTGCATTGCTATCAATTGCTGATCCTGAATCCACAGATACTAGGGACAGCTTTACCAAAAAATTTCTATACTATTGGTTAGGTTAGGTTATTTAATTACAGAAAAGCCTCAAGGCCTATCTGCCTAAGGGGAGGGATGCCTTGGTGGAGGACTTTCTAAGGGAAACTGGCTCGTATACACGTTACACATAAGAAAAACCACGAAAACACCCATGCAGCCAGCCCATTTGCGGAATTCAAACCTTGGACCGAACTACCAGTGTTCAGCGATTTTACTGCTCAGCTGCTGGTGGGCCTCTATACTATTGGAAGAAAGTCTTATTTGTATCTCATTTAAAAAAATAATATTTCATATAATTTGTAACATTATTGGCATTGATTTATGGAGGCAGAAGAATAGCAGTAAGCTTTGATAAAAACCTAAAAATAATATTTTTTATTTTATAGTATTTTCATAATTGCTTGTTTAATAGTCATTTCAACGTATTGCATTACTGTTATTTTTTATATATTCTTTTTAATCATTGCATAGATGTTTGAGAATTTACGTTGTCAAGGGAATCTAGCTACATGGGATACAACAGAAGCATCGTTGTTTATTATGGGTGCTGTTGCCAAAAGTATTATCCCGTAAGTAAAACAGCATTTCAAAAACGATTGTAAAACTTATCTGTGCTGAGAATAAAATGTCAATGTTTTTAAAAGTGAAATAAGTTTTAAAAATATTTTAGCATTCAGGCTAAGTCACCAGCTGTGCTCTGAACTTAACAAACTTGTAATAAACTCTTTCTCGCAGTTTTGTGAGTGCTCATCTCTAAAAATAAAATTTGACTCATGTTCACTAATTTCAAAAATCTGAGATCCTGATTTTATAAATGTGTGTACTAATGTAGTACCTTCAAAACTGGGAAATGATCTCTGTGATGAATTTGAATCATATTAAGAATTAAAGTTACTACTACATATTAAGAATTGAGTACTGTATAAAATTTAATAAAATAATTAAAATTGCTAATTTTCTCTAGCTAAATTTTGAAATCTCCGATTTTATTTATATTTGTGTGTGATTAATTGCATTACTGAAATAAAATGTTCTAGAAATTAGAAAAGCCTAAAATTAATAATTTTAGTACTGAAAAGTATTATAGTTGCATCTTTGTTTATTTACTTTAAATATTCCAAATATTTGAAATTTGCCTGATTTTAAGTTCAAGTTAATCTGCAATTTTAAGAATTCTGTTGCTATTTTATTTTTTAATTCACTACTATTTGTTTATTCTTCTTTGATTTTACCCATAATTTGTTTCTGCTTTCCAGCCTTCTTTATAAGCTTAGATTTTTTTTTTATTTTTGCCTCTACTATTTTGAGGATATGATTTTATTGCGTTTAGGATACTTTAATTAAAATTTTAATATTGTTTCAGTGTTCATAATTTTTTCCTTACAAAATAATTGTATTTATATATACTTAGATATTTAGAGTAATAAAAATAATACAAAATACTTTCAGAGAAGAAAACAGAATTGTTCCTCAAACAGTAGAAGCCATATTAAACTTGCCTGAAACTTCTCACTTGGCTGTTCGTTATACAAGTACCTACCTTTTAGGAGAATTATGTGATTGGATAGAAAAACATCCTCAGTATCTTGGTCAGTATAAATAAATGTCATGTATGTTAATTATTAAATATGAAGAATTAATATTATATTTCAAAGATTAGTGTGTAGCTTAAATTTTAGAATTTTCAATTATGTATGAAAAGGGAATTGCTTATATTTAGTAAATTATAATATTTTCTTATTCTTCTTCTTCGTATTCCCCCCTTATAAGGTGTAGTTATATTAATAGAATTGCTCATTGAAAAAAATAATTAAAAAAGCCGAGTTTCAGTTGCAAAGCATAGATTCTAATGAATGAAATAAAATATTGTTTACTTTCAGATCCTACATTGAATTTTTTGCTTTCTTGTCTTCAAAAGAAGCCATTATCAACTGTAGCAGCTACGGCTTTGCAGAATATTTGTTCCACTTGCAAAAAACAAATGGCTGCACATTTTAATGGTTTGCTGCAAATAATTCAAGCTCTTGATACGTTTTCTATTTCCAATGAGGCAGCTGTTGGTCTTTTGAGAGGTTTGTTTTTTCACCATTCTTTTTTTTTTTTTTTTTTTTCCAATACTTCCTTTTATTTAGGAATGAATTTTAATACTGAATTTATAATTAGTAATAATTTAATAATATTAATGATAGTACTTTAACCCATTGTCTTTTACATGATATGTTTCATATTTTTCATGAGATTTTTACTGTTTCTTTACATGAAGATTTTTATGTTTTTATTCTTATTAGAAAATAAATGTTCATAAAATACTCATATACCAGAAATTGAATAATATGCAACATATTAATTAAAGTTGTGCTTTATTAGGTCTGTATATTTTTTTTACATGCAAAATGTCATCAGTTTACAAAAATATTCAGGCTGGGGAAAAATGTAACATATATAAGGAACTCAATAATTTTTATATTCTGTCTTGTAAAATAATAGGAACAAATAGTATTTTTTAGGACTGATGATAAAAAAAAATAAGTTTTTCTTTTTGTTAATGTGTGAAACTATGTTACACGTTGCTGTTTTGAGTAAGTTTAGTTATCTGTTCACGTGGTGATTAGAAGGAAATATACAGTCTGATTAATTTTTCTCATGAAAATTACTGTGTATGATATTTTTTATTTCAAGACCATGATCATTATACATTTGAGATCAAATCCCTCTTTTTTTAAGAAAATTTTAAAATTTTCTTTAAAATTTCCATTTTTGCTCCTGTTTAATAAAATACAAATTGTAGGCTTTTCCAGATTTAAAAATTATGATGTCATAGAATTTTACTTCCAGAGTCTAAGGATTAATGTATTTACAAAGTACATTGTGAGATTAAAAAAGTTACGATGCTTTTCTAAAATACTCAGCTAGGTATGAGAAACAATGTTAAGTTCCCCCCCTCTCCCACCACCATTCATTTGGAATGGCTGAACCCATCATTCATTTAATTATCTGATTATTAAGAACAGGGCTGAGAGTGCACTACAGTAGTGATGCAATTACAAAAAGGAGAAGCTCAGGCCTAATTTTGATGGGGAACAATTTAAGAGATGGATATGAGGATCATCCATCCCTTTTTAAGAGACTATCCTCTTACAAACATCCATGCCTTCTCTGGGATAAAAACCTGGGCTCAGGCTATAACATCATAATATCAAATATAAACCAGATCTACAGTGCCAAAGAAATAACTTCAAATAGGCTTTAATAAATTTCCAGTAGTCTATAGTGCTTACAGTGCTGATATTTATTAGTAGTGACACTCAGAAATCTGATTGGTAAGTGAGTGCTGCTTACATAAAACACTACCCTAACATCATATTTTAAGATAGTAACAAAGCATATGAAAAGTACCTTCGGTTTAACTTCATTCTTTTTTTTAAATTTTATCGTCATCAAATTTTAAAAAAAATACCTAAAAGTAACTTAATTTTTCCCCCATAGCACAAAACATCCTCAGGATGTCCTATTTAAGTCGCAATATCCCAGGACATACTTAGGATGTCCTAAGGATGTTGATTCTCAGATGTCCTGAGGAGATCGTAATTTAACATCCTGAGGATGTCTTATTTAAGTCGCTATATCCCGGGATATGACAGCATGTCCTGAAGATGTTGATTCTCAGATGTCCTGAGGAGTTCACCAATTTCACATCCTGAGGACATTCATTCTGCATTGTCCGGAGGACTTACATTGTCAAACATTTTGAGGATATTTGTTCTCAAATTTACCAGTTTTAATTTTTTGACATTGCACATCTGAAACTTGCACATTATTTTATTTTTCATATGTATTTTACTAAGTTGTTTCTAAATGCTGTACATTAAAAATATTGATATGATTGATGATTTATTCTTGTTATTTTGTTATTAATTTTAACTGCTATTTTTTCTGAGTTTTAAAATTTATTTAGTCATGAAAAGATTTTTTTCAATGGATTAGCATTTCTAGAATATTTGCAAATTCTAAATAACATATATTTTTTTTTATAAAAAATGTAAAATTACATTATAATTACTTACAGATACAAACCCTACTACAATATAGGTAAATTAGATATAGATGTATTTAATTACGGAAAACGAATTTTTTTTTTAAATTTGGATATAGAGACATTAGGTATTTTTTGGAAAGCAGGAAACATGAAAAATAGCAACTGCCTTCGCCGGGAATCGAAATACGGACCTTTGGAATACCGGCCCAGTGTGCAGAACAACTACACCACGAAACACGCTAGGTGTGGTTGGTGGTGTATTTAATTATGGCAAAGCACACTAGGGCTATCTGCCTAAGGGGAGGGAGTCTTCGTGGAGGACTTTCTAAGGGAAACTCGCTCGTATACACGTTACACGTGGGGAAAACCACGAAAAACACCCATGAGCCAGCCTGTTCGCGGGATTCGAACCTCGGATCGCACTACCAGGGTTCAGCGCTTAACCGCTCGGCCGCTGGTAGCCGAAACACGCTAGAAAGCTGGAGAAATACCTTATTTACTTATCGTTTTAAGGCCGACTTTTTTTTAAGGGGATCCAATCACTAATCCTGGGTGGGATATACTCATCCAACACCTTTTTAGTTCGGCGCCACTGTGCGTTCTTTAGCTGTTTGAATTACGTTCTATTGGACATTGAGTAGTTGAAAGTAAAACTGTGAGATATTGTAATACTGCATGATAATTTGAGAAAATTTAACCGTTGTTTTTTCATAATACGAGAAAGATGCATACGCTCATGCAGATTCTTCGTGCTTTAATTTCTCTGAATATAATACAGGAAGATAATATTTGGTAGCACAAATTTGAAAAGTGATAGCCCGTTTATGTTACATGTTTTAAAAGAGAGGTATTTCCAACCAAGAATTAGTAACGCAAAAATAAGTAATGTACCATTTTGGGATATGTGTTCCAAATAATCTGCATAAAACGAGCATTTGTTTAAGCCGATTTTAAACTACAGATTGATATTCATGTAAATTCCAACTTAAATGTCATAGACAAAGAATTATGTCAAAGTTTACTTTTAGTGAATTGGAAATGTAATATCGATAAATATTTACACAAAAAAATTAAAACATAAATAAAAAATGTGACTTGGAAAAATAAGAAAACATTTAAAATAAAAATTTATATATGTAAAACCAAGAAAAGGGAAAAATATCTTTTGAAGTTGTAAAGAAAAACTAGCAATTAAAAATTTACGTTTGCAAAAATAAAGAGTGAAAAAGAAAAATTAAGAACTTAATTTTAAATCTTGTTAATCTGATGTGTACACCACAGGACTTCCTTGTAAATCATATTACATCATACTCAGTTTTTCCTGCATTTCATTTAAACTTATTGAATTGAATTAAATCTGCTTTGTCATTAGCGCATGAACTACGATAGAATAAATGCACTCTTTAAAAATTCACTATAGTTATTTACCATAACGACACTCTGGCGCTAGGTTCACTTAATAGCGTTACATCTCATTCATTTGATAACTCAGAATGCACAAAAATACATCTTACAGGGCTGTAAATACAAGGGCATTTCGAAAAGTAAAGATACAATGGCTCGCATCCCTTAAAAAAAAAAAAAAAAAAAAAAAAAAAACCACTTATTTAGAAAACGTCAATTACATGCTATTAACTGGATTATTTATTATTTTTCGACATAATCACCCCCGTTATCCAAACATTTGTTAAGTCAGTGCACAAGCTTTTGTATCCCACAGTCATAGAAGGTTGCCGCCTGTTGGAACGCAGCGCGCACACAATTTCCTGTAACATAACTTGACAGTCACAACTTCATAAAGAGTTGTCATTGACACTTCCGGTATGATCTGATGCAATTCTTTCAATCTGAGACGTCTATTTGCACGAATTGCTTCTTCTGTTCTCTGAAGAAGGGCATCAGAGATCACAGATGGCCGACCTGTTCTTTGTTCGTCATGAACATCGGTCCTACCTTCAGAGAAATGGCGACACCCTTTCGTTACATTTTGTCGATTCATAATGTTCCCAAAAACAGAAACAATTTCTTTGTGAATATCCGCTGGTCGCTGACCTTTTGCATGAAGAAAACGTATGACGGAGCGCACTTTGCATTTGGTGGGTTTCTGAATCGGCGCAGTCATTTTAAACACGATCTACTCCAACCAGAATCAACGTTGAAATGCCGAACGACCGCGAGGAGAAAGCTAACCTATGTTGCCAACTTGCTCACCAAAACTTTTCTTTTCCTCTGGCGTACGCTGAATCTTTATTTTTCGAAATGCCCTCGTATTTGGTGGCAACAGTCTGAAAAGGGAATCAATGCAGAAAGTAAATCAACGCAAAATGCCAAAACGAAATTAATAGCCATTCTGAGCTGCCCTTTTGGCTAAATAGTAAAATAAAAGGAAGAAGAAGGAACAAAACAGCAATCTTTTGATTGCACAATTAAAATGCTGAATCTATTGATTTGTACATAAAAATCGATCAACAGTAGTTTATTAATGTTACAGAGTCGGTACAGAGTAAATCGATCAAGAGTAGTTTATTAATGTTACATTATCAAATAAGAAGAGAATTTTCTACATTTTTCTCTCTCTGTAAACGGAAGTGTTCTTACGGAAGTAATATTACGAACCTAAATCAAGAAGTAAGTGACAAAAGGCACTTACAAAATAACCTTATGGAGATATCCACCGAAAAAAATATTTTGTTTCTCAACCTTATTTTCATAAATATTTATACCCCACTGGTCCCAATCGTTTTATCAGTGTTTCAATACCCAGCTACATAAAATTCTTTGGCTTGCTTTCTCAACCACTTTACGACTTCTTCCTGAACATCGTCACTATCTGCAAAGTTTGTAGGTACTTCTGCATTAATGATCATGACCATGAGACACTTTCCAGAGTTAGTTGTAGAGACATTAGGATATTTGGAAGCAGGCAAGATGAAAAATTAGCAACGCCTTCGCCGGGATCGAAACCGAACCTCTGAAATACCGACTCAGTGTGCTGACCACTACACCACGAAAGCATAGCATGCAGCCGGAGAAATACCTTATAT